ATTAATTGTTTCGTGCATTCAGTTATTATCCGTATTTTCTTCTTCTTTAAATACAAGTTTAAGTATTGTGACATATCAATGTATATGTCTGTTTTTTCTTCAATATTCAATTTTCATTAAATTCGGATCAGTCATTATCTGAAACACTAGAAACACTAGAAGCGATCAACACTTCAGATGTCTCATCTGTGCATTTTGCTTCATCGTTATTCTCACTGAAGTCAGTGTAGTAATCAGAAATATCAAGTTGATATAAATTTTGTAATCCGATGACTATTTCCTCTTCGCTACTTTCATCCTGTATAACTTTCGTGGACGTACTCGGTTCATTGTCAAAGTCATTATTTGTAGAAATCAATTTTATTTCAGATATTGATGATTCATTTTCGCATTCTATCGCCGCTTTGACATCCAATGCGCTCAAGTCGACATCAACGTTGTTTTCATTGGAAGTAGAAGCACTTTTCTCAGCTCTTTTCCTATTCATTAACAATGCTTCCGCGTAAGGTGGTGCTATGGGGGTTTGCACTGGTTCGTGGTACTTGTACTCCTTACCGTCATACTGAGAATATTTACGAACAAGATAGAATGAGATATAATAATATAAATAAAATATATAAAAAAGAAAATGCAAAAGAATAGCAAGGAATTTCCTTCTATTTTATTTTAAGCTATTTAATTCACAGTTAAATGAGAATATATGTCACACTCACATTTAGTGGATAGCTCATATCGGAATCGGGCTGGTTGAGATCTCCACATACGATGAACGGAACGATGGTCCTATTCACTCCTGTCAATTTATCGAAATCCCACGACTCCTCCATCATCCAAGGATTCAACATATTTGGTTCATAACCTTCTGGTTGGCTGTAATCCTTACAGACTACAAACGCCTCGATGCTTGAGTTGCGAGAACTGCTGGGTTTCGTACAATAGACGTAAGGAAAAAATATTCTTAATTGAGCATACAAAAGCGACACATCCTTGGCACGAAAGATTTTTGCGACAAATGTTCCTCCAGGTCTCAGGATATATGTAGCTATGTTCAAAGCAGCCAGTAACAGCTGTGATTGGATAAATATATCCATATCATGTAAACCGGTCACTACGATCAAAATAAAATTTATTATTTCAGAAAATCTGTATAGTGTTAGCAAGAACAAAAAGTGATAAGATATGTACCATCAGGTGCTCCATCACACACAACTAAGTCTGCACGGGAGTTATCAAAGTATGCAATGATCTGTTCTGCTGTACTACTGTTAGTAATGTCACCTTGCAGTTGAATAACTCCTTCCAAGGGTGCCATTGCTTGTAAATCAACTGCGACAATTTTTGGTTTAGGTGCAGGACCATTTTCCAAAGCCTTTTTATAGTTCTCTCTGTAAATATACAATTATTTGACAAATTAAGAATATTTTCTTATTATAATAGAATGGACTTCATGTAATATTTAAACTTTGATAAAGTTTCACTTACGTTAGCTTGCGAGCTAAGACCTGGCTCCAGCTTCCAGGTGCAGCACACAGATCCACTGCTTTAGATACTCCTGAAAGAGAAAAATATTTTTCTCTTTTATTATTTTTAGTTTCATACATTCTTTTTTCGTTATCTAAATCATATATAATCTTAGTTTATATGAAACAGCTAGGATAAAAAGTGATAATTAAAAAGAAAAAATTTATTAATTGCTAAATCTATTATACTCACCATCAAAAATATGACACTCCGAATCAATTTGAAGCAACTTGAAAGCACTCCGAGCTCGCCATCCTTCTTCTTTCGCCTTTCTGTAGTATATATCGCGTTTATCCTTCGAGGTCTTTCCCATTTTCTATCAAAATTGAACTTTCTATCGCACAAAAAGTATTTGAAATTTTTAAAATAAATTTAAAGCGCTTCGAGAATGCAAAGTCGTGTCTTCTTTATCTTACGACGCTCAATCCTAGAAAAAAGCATGATGAAAGTACATTATGAATGATGCACTTATCTTATGGAGAAAAGTAGAGATCCTCCTAAAGGTGGTTTTCATGCCGACACTCGTCGCTTATTTTCGACGTCAAAATAAGTCACGTGATAGAAATTGACGAATATCAAGCATCAATTTTGATTGTGTAACCTATTATGATGCTGAAAATAAATGTCATAGTGTTAGATAAAAACCCAGCCTTAATAAGAGACACAACATGAGAAAATCGTGCGTTGATTCGTCCGCCATGTTTCAGGAATACGTGCCATACATATTTTGCATACTTATATTTGTGTTACTTTTCAATTTCAACAATATAATTAAAATTAAATATTTTAAAAATATTAATAAATAAATTTCTTTTTGTTACGTGCATGCGAGAAGAATTGTTTAATTTAACACTTCTTTTTACAAAATTATTTAAAAAATTTAAATCTATAATAAGATTATAAATATTCCAGTAAACTTGTTT